TATATATATATATATGTGTGTGTGTGTGTGTGTGTGTCTATGTGTGTGTGTATATATATATATATGCACATGTGTAAATATATACGTGTGTGTGTGTGTGTGTGTGTGTATATACACACACATACATACAAATGTTTGTGTGTATATGTATACATATCCATCTATATCTACACACACACACACACACACACACACATACACGTTTATATTATATATACACACACACACGTGAGTATACATATATATGTGTGTATATTTATATATGTGTGTGTGTGTGTATATATGTATACATATCTATCTATATACACATTTAAAAGAATGTTTATATGTAAAATAAATATTTATATCTAATAGAAGTTATATATAAATATACACACTATTTAGATATATATGTTTTACTTATTTATAAACTATTTATACACGTACATTATCTAAATATGATCTTTTATTCTGGATGTGATGTATGGTTTGACAGCACTGATCCTCAGTGTGATCTCATTAGTTCATCCTCCAGTGCGTTTCCCTCGAGCTGGAGTGAGAAACCGGTTTGCTGAGGTAATAATGAAAGAAATAAAGGCACAAAACTGCGTTTAGAGTGTGTTCAGAGAGCCATGGGGATGTGGAAGTCAGGGCTGTCGAAGAGCAGGGGTCTGCGGGGGGGATCGGCCTCTCTGTTGGAGCGGTGCAGGAGTTTGAAGAGTCCCGTGCCGATGTTCATGGGGATGCCCATTATAATGCACTCCGACACCCCTGCAGACACACACGCACACACGGATGGAGAGACTGTAAGAATGAGGTTATAACTACAGCGGTTCCAACTGAATGAACTACAGTGAACTGAGCTCTGCTGAATGACTAAAAGGATGGTGTAAAACTGCACACATCCTGCAATCTGATACCAAAAACAGAAATAAGGGCAGCATTAACAGCTAAATGCACTCACTGGCCACTTTATTAGGTACACGTTACTAGTATCAGGTTGGACCCTCTTTTGCCTTGAGAACTGCTTTAATCCTTCATGGCAGAGATTCAACAAGCTACTGGAAATATTCCTCAGAGATTTTGCTCCATATTGTCATGATAGCATCACACAGTTGCTGCAGATTTGTCGGCTGCACATCCATGATGCCAATCTCCCGCTCCACCACATCCCAAAGCTGCTCTATTGGATTGAGCTCTGGTGACTGTGGAGGCCATTTGAGTACAGTGAACTCATCGTCATGTTCAAGACACCAGTCTGAGATGATTGAGCTTTATGACATGCTGCGTTATCCTGCTGGAAGTAGCCATCAGAAGATGGAGACACTGTGCTCATAAAGGGATGGACATGGTCAGCAGCAATACTCAGGTAGGCTGTGGCGTTGATGCTCAATTGGTACTAATGGACCCAAAGAAAATCTCCCCCACACCATTACACCACCACCACCAGCCTGAACCGCTGATACAAGGCAGGATGATCCATGCTTTCATGTTGTTGAGGCCAAATTGTGAGCCGAGCATCCGAATGTGTCAGCAGAAATGGAGACTCATCAGAGCAGCAACGTTTCTCCAATCTTCTATTGTCCAGTTTTGGTGAGTCTGTGTGAATTGTAGCCTCAGTTTCCTGTTCTTAGCTGACAGGAGCGGCACCCGGTGTGCTCTTCTGCTGCTGTAGCCCATCCGCCTCAAGGTTGGCCGTGTTGTGTGTTCAGAGATGCTCTTCTGCAGAGCTCGGTTGTAACGAGTGCTTATTTGAGTTACTGTTGCCTTTCTATCAGCTGGAACCAGTCTGGCCATTCTCCTCTGGCCTCATCAGCAAGGCATTTGCGCCCACAGAACTGCCGCTCACTGGATATTTCCTCTTTGTCGGAGCATTCTCTGTAAAGCCTAGAGATGGTTGTGCGTGAAAATCTCAGTAGATCAGCAGTTTCTGAAATACTCAGAGCAGCCCGTCTGGCAGTATCAACCAGCTAAAGTGTTGCTAGAATTGATTTTTATGTAGGGGCGATATACATTTCATCCTTCAGATATATATGATTGAGCTCATGTCCATGTGTTGTATGATAATCTGCATATATTGTGACAGGCCTAATATCAAATATAAATATGAATGCAACTCCACCATCAGTCTTGTATTCCCTCTTGACCTGATCTGCTCTTCTCTGCATGTGTGTGTGTGTGTGTGTGTGTGTGTGTGTGTGTGTGTGTGTGTGTGCGCATCACTCACCACACACTGAGTCCTTCTGACCGAAATATGCAGCATCAAACAGATGATCGGCGGTTTTCTCGAAGGAGGCCAGCATGAGGACGCTCTCCTTCATCTTGGCCAGACCAAAGCGAGTGATGCCCAGAATCTCTCCCTGTAGAGACACACACACACACATTCAGCACATAATAGTTTAATAACTCATCTCTAATAACTGATTTATTTTCTCTGTCATGATGACAGCACATAATATTAGACTAGATATTCTTCAAGACACTAGTGTTCAGCTTAAAGTGACATGTAAAGGCTTCACTAGGGTAATTAGGGTAAAGTTAGGGTAATCAGGCAAGTCATTGTATAACAGTGGTTTGTTCTGGAGACAATCCAACACTAATATTGCTGAAGGGGCCAATAATATTGAGCTTGAAATGCTGTTAAAATAATTAAAAACTGCTTTTATTATTCCCAGCGTGATAGCCGTTTGGGACAGTAGACAGGATCATTACTGGCCCGATTGGGAAAAGAAAATGTCTGTTTCTAATGTCTTGCAAGCAGACTGCAAGACATTAGAACAACACGATAAAAAACGATTGTGTGAACAACACGATAAAAAAATGAAGTCATGCTTTGCACAGTTTGCCGTCAGTTTGACAAGTCAGCCACCAATTGTTAAATAATTTCGAACCGCAATAAAATACCTCCACATTTTCCTCTGCTCTTTTTGTTTGCATGACACTTTTTAACAATTTTAAAGTATTGAAATTGTAGAATCACAGATTTTATTTTTGACGCATTACTTAAAATATGCAGCTAAAAATAGCTATTAACTTCCATTTTTTTATTTTTAATTTATTTATTTTTTGGGGGGCGCCAGTGAAAATTTTGGCAGGGCAAGTGAAAAACTGAACCACTGGCCCGTTCGGCCCAGTAGAAAAAATCATTAAAATGGCTTTAAAACAATTAAAAACTGCTTTTATTCAAGCCGAAATAAAACATATAAGACCTTTTCCAGAAGAACAAATATTAGAGGAAATACTGTGAAAAATTCCTGAATCTGTTCAACATCATTTGGGAAATATTGGAAAAAATAAAGGAATAATTTTCATGTCTGCCATGACAATGTGTGATTAAAGTCAACTAGTCATGCTGTGCAAATCATGTGGTTTTTGAGCTGAACTAGAGCTGCAGGATTCTGGCTTAAATGAGAATCACGATTCTTTTGCTTAAAATAAAGATTCTGTAGATGTAAAATAAAGGTATGGTAAAAACAAACATACGGCACAACATCAATAATAATATTATGTGCAGGTCTACTGGTATCTATAAATAATTCTATTCTACTTATAATAATTCTGATGTTGAATTATGATGTTTGAGATATGTGCTTGCAATCTGTCATATTGGACAATTTTATTCACTGGTAAAATCAGACATTTGTCATTATCAGATTATATTAACAATATATAGGCTAGAGTACTTATACTGACACTGTAAACATTTATTTTCCTTCACAACTGTGTGTTCGCTATTAAAGAAAAAACATCAAATGCTTGCCGTTATCATAACTCTAATATGCGATACGATCATTTAAATGAAGTGCACACTTTCGGTTTCATTCTGACTGCTAAGCGCTTGTTCATACTTTGCGCGCGGCTCTCAAACGATCACTCTGTGCCACAAACTGAATATTATTTACAACTGTATTACCTGTTACTCACAGCATATGCAGGATCTGTTCACTAAAGTAGACGCGAGCGCGCCTATCATTAAGCGCACGCCCGCCCTCTCTGTGATAACAGCTGACGGTCAGCAGCTCATGTCATATGTGATTTCCCGGCCGTGAATACATCATTATATGAGAACAAAAATGACATTTTTAGGTGAATTATACCTTATAAATACAGTATGTGACTCATTCAACATCATTTGGAGGTGTCAATGTCACTGAGCAACGTGTGTATGAAACAAGGAAAAGACTCGTGCAGCCGCCTTTTCTTCTCTCCTGAACTTGAAAATATGATTGGCAGAATCGTACAAATGCAGAATTAAGATAGTCTAGGGGGTCGAATCGAGATCGCCACCTTTTAACGATTAATTGTGCAGCTCTAATGCATATCATAAGTATCATCATACTACGCCTAGTGTGAACAATTATTACATTAAAAATAGATCATATTGAGCTCAATATTTGATTATATTATGAACTGTTCATTACAATTATAATAGTGCTAATTACACTGTTCAGTTTTTACATTACATGCAGTGATGACAAGTGTCTGAGCAGGACTCTGACAGTGTAAGGCTCGTCAGTCTTGGTCTTTCGTCTGTTATGTTCTGATGAAATAGTTTGCCATGATTTGCTGTTCAATGCATGCATTACTTCAGCACTACATATATCAGAGAGCCGTATAATAATAACTGTACCGCAGTAGTGAATATCAGCACCTGCTCACCTTATAGGACATGAGGTCTGCCAGCAGCATGACGTGCCGGCGGTCGATGCTCATACCGTGGTTTACCATAGTGTACTGGATCTCATTGATGATGGTGGATCTGGCAGCTTCAATGCCTAAAGTCTTCTCTACCTGACCACACACACACACACACACACACACACACACACACACACACACACACATCACAGGGGAAATGTTAGAGCATTCTGACCGACTCCAAACACTCAATCAGGATTATTGATTAACTGTAGAGTTCATCATCAAGACACAACATCACCAGTGTCTGTCAATACTGCGTTCGGTGAAAACTATTATCATACATGTGTGTGTGTGTGTGTGTGTGTGTGTGTGTGCATTTATTAATATACAGTATGTGTATTTATGCATCTGTGTGTGTTTTATACATGTTTGTGTATTTAATGCATATGTGTGTGTGTGTGTGTGTGTGTGCATTTATTAATATACAGTATGTGTATTTATGCATCTGTGTGTGTTTTATACATGTTTGTGTATTTAATGCATGTGTGTGTGTGTGTGTGTGTGTGTGCATTTATTAATATACAGTATGTGCATTGATGCATCCTTGTGTATTTTATACATGTATGTTTGTGTATTTAATGCATATGTGTGTGTGTGTGCTTTTATTAATATACAGTATGTGTATTTATGCATCTGTGTGTGTTATATACATGTATGTTTGTGTATTTAATGCATGTGTGTGTGTGCTATTATTAATATACAGTATGTGTGTATTCATGCATATTTGTGTATGTCTATTTTATGCATATGTCTGTATGTGTGCATTTATGTATATGTGTGTGTGTGTGTGTTTTAGCATATGTCTGTGTGTTTTGTGTGCATCTTCACCTCATACGTGTTGTTGGATGTAGTTTTGCTTCCGTTGACTCCGTGTGTCGCCATCACAGATCTCATATTGTCTCCTTCCACCAGCAGCTTGAACTTCTGCTTCCCGCTCTGCTCATCGATGTGGATGACGGCGCGAGACACTTCAGGGATTCCCTGCACTACCACCTGCACACACACACGTATATATGCACACACAAACATGTATAAATACACACACTCATCAAACACATGCCTAAATGAGCACACAAATATGCATAAATACACACAAACAGTTGAAGGCAGAATTATTCACCCCCCTTTGAATTTTATTTTCTCATTTAAATATTTCCCAAATGATGAACAGATTCAGGAAATGTTCACAGTATGTCTGATAATATTTGTTCTTCTGGAGGAAGACTTATTTGTTTCATTTCGGCTAGAATAAAAGCAGTTTTTAATTTTTTAAACATCATTTTAAGATCAATATTATTCGCCCCTTTAAGCTTTTTTTCACACGATAGTCTCCAGAACAAACCATCGTTATACAATGACTTGCCTAATTACCCTAACCTGCCTAGTTACCCTAATTAACCTAGTGAAGCCTTTAAATGTCACTTTAAGCTGTATAGAAGTGTCTTGAAGAATATCTAGTCTAATATTATTTACTGTCATCATGACAAATTAAATAAATCAGTGATTAGAGATGAGTTATTAAAACTATTATGATTAGAAATGTGTTGTAATAACTCGCTCTCAGTTAAACAGAAATAAAAAAAAATTAACAGGGGGCTAATAATTCTGACTTCAACTGTATGCACACACATTAAATACACACCAACATTTATGCGTAAACACACACACACACACACGCTTAAATACACTTACACACATATACAGTAAATGCGCACACACATGCATATGCATAAAATAGACATGCACAAATATGCATAAACACAAATACTGTATACTGATAAATGCGCGCGCGCACACACACATATATGCATTAAATACAAACCTTTATGTATAAATAAACACACACAAACACACAGATGCATAACTGCACACAGACAAATGCATAAGTACACATGCACAAACGCAATACTTAAAACACGTACCCACACACACATATGTATAAACACACTCATAAATAAACAATACACACATGCATAATACACACAGACAGATACGTATAAATACACACAAATACATAAAACAAGCGCATACACAAACACGCATACATAAACATGGCATGCATTTTAATTATAATGCATTGAAAACAATGTAATCAGTTTCCTCTATTCAAATAACCAGTAATCAATCACTTAGAAATATATGTGATCCTTTTTAAAGTGCCTTTGTTTACTTCATGTACTGACTGACATTTATTCTCCCATCCCTAACAATGATTCCTGAAGAGTAAAGCCAGTCCAGATGAAAAGGCAAACGCCAAAGTAACTTAAAGCATTACTTTCCTTAAAAAGCTCCATATTTAATTACTTTTCAAAGAAGTAAAGCAATATTGCAAAGCAATACTTTAACAAGGAAACTTCCCCACACTGTCAATACTAGGGATGTCACAGTTCTCAATATAATATTGAACCGTTCGGTACGACCTCCACAATTTAATAGGCGCTTGTGAATTGCAGATTTCTTGGTTTTGCGTTTAAATAATTTGTGGGTTTTATATCTCCCCGAATTGACTGTGTGTGCCTCTAAATCCATGAGCTGAGATGAGGAAACTCCTCATAAGTAAATCTCCAATAGAGTTAGGAGGCGCTTGACCATCATTCCACACTTTAACATGGCGAGCGGCGGTGAAGTGAGGCTGAGGCAGCAGTACAAGGAAGCGCCGGGGAAGTGAGGCAACAGTACGAGAAAGTGGCAGCGTCTTTCAAATCTGTGGTTTGAAAACATTTGCTGGTGAGTATAATGCCAATACAAGAAAAAACGATGAACAAAAAAATAACTGTGGGCAAACATTGCTTTACACGTATAACCATGACTGCACATCTGCAGCGCCATCACCCAGCAATATCATTGTCTGAAGCAGGAGAGCAACAATCCCTCACTGAATCTTTCCAGCAAACAAACCCAACTGGTTCCGAGAGACACATAAAATAAAAAAGGCAGTGCGGGTGTTTACTGCTGAAGATTTGCAGCTGTTTTGGGTGATTGGAGATGTGGGCTTCTGTCATCTTATAAAAGCACTCGATCCGCGTTACAGACTACAGTCTCGCATTTATCCAGCACCGAGATAATGAAGATGTTTATTTATGTTTACTGAAGGACAAATGTGTTAATTTGAAATGGCCAATTGATCTTTATTAACTCCACATGTGTGTTTATTTTCAGAGTGGAGGATTGTATGTGTTCCCCAGTTTGTACATGGGCGAGCAGCAGCTGTGAGATTTCAGTGGTCATTTTTTTATACAATACTCTAGGAACTACTGCACTTCTCTTGGCTTTTATGTGAAACAAAATGAATACTGCAATAAATCGTTTATTTTTATTTTATTTTTTTGCATATAGACCTTTTTCATGGCTGCTGCATGGAGGGCGCCATAGCGACCAGCGTCTTCCGGTAGAATGCTAAAAACTTCCGTTTACAGCGTGTACAACTGGTCATTTGCGCTCCGAAAATGGGTTTCAATAACGTTTTTAATGGATAACAGAGTGTTTTTGTGACACACAACTTAGAAATGTGTCTGTTAAAGCCATTATAATCTGTCACGTGTGGTTCAAGCGCGTCAGAAATACGAGAAAAACGTTCTCCTAGTTCACGTGTCTGCCGTCAGAAATACAGTGTGCGTGTGCGTTCCCGGCCTGTCAGCTGTTAGCTCAGCGGCTCTTTAACACACACACGCGCACACACACACACACACAGAGAGAGAGAGAGAGAGAGAGAGAGAGAGAGAGAGAGAGAGAGAGAGAGAGAGCAAACCAGAGTACAGGTATGTAAGTCGTGCAATTTACAAAAATGAGCAATAAAAGTCTGTTATTGATCCTCTGCTGCTGATTTGCTGTTCATTCTAATCGCGAGCCGTTTGTGTTTTATTTCGTGTGTTGTTTTCACCACGGTTTGTGTTTTTCTGTCATTTGGAAATGACACTAGCCTGTATTTTCACGTTGTCACAGTTATTAAATCAGTGTGTCAGTGGCACAGGACAGGCTACGTGTGTGTGTCAAACATTTTGGTGAACTACATTAGTTTGGGCTGGTTATATATTTAAAATAAAGAGAAAATGTTGACTTTAGCGATGACGAGGCTTCATTTAAACAGCAGAAGATGCCGTCTGACAACGAGGGGGAAACGCCTCACAGCAGCTGTTTTCCGTCCTATTAGATCACATTTCTCTAAATGATCAGTCCAGGAGATGCTGCTGATGGACAACAGTATTAGTTCAAAGAGGATAAAAGCTAGCAAAGCTGATTCAAAGCTGTCCAAATGTGACTGTTTACACGCATCAGCTGCCGACCGGAAGTTCTTCGCATTCTCCTAGCGCATACACGCAAAGCATCATGGGTAATTTTGCGTTCCAAGAAAAAGGTCTATACAAAAAAAAAACACGTCAAGCCATGAGAACCGTACTGAACCGAAGACAGTGTTAACAAACCGAGGTATTGTATCGAGCACATGTCACTCCGCTGCTCATCCGTTTGCACTGGCTGCCAGTTGCTGCTCGCATCAAACTCAAAGCTCTGATGTTTGCCTACAAAGTGACTTCTGGCTTTGCTCCTTCTTATCTGCTCTCACTTCTGCAGATGTATGTGTCCTCCAGAAACTTGCGTTCTGTGAATGAACGTCGCCTCGTGGTTCATCCCAAAGAGGGAAGAAATCACTTTCCCGAACTCTCGCATTCAATCTGCCCAGTTGGTGGAATGAACTCCCTAACTGCATCAGAACAGCAGAGTCACTCGCTGTCTTCAAGAAACCACTAAACACTCAACTATTTAGTCTCCACTTCCCTTCCTAATCTGCAATTGCCTCTTTGATTATCACACTAACTGTACAAAAAAAAAAAAAAAAAAATACTAATACTACTAATACTTTCCTTCTTAGACTTTACAGACCTGAAACTTGCCTACAGTACTTATTCATTGTTGCTCTTAGTTGTGTAAATTGCTTCCTTGTCCTCATTTGTAAGTCGCTTTGGATAAAAGCATCTGCTAAATGACTAAATGTAAATGTAAATGTAAAATGAACCGTGGCCTAACTGTATTGTTGCATCCCTAGTTTGAAACTTTCGTCTCGAGAAGCCAAATAAAAATGCATTGCATATAAGACTGCACAACATTGGGCAAATCCGACATTGATGTATACATACAATTATACCAGATGACTTGAATATCAACATTAAGAAAGAATTGATCATTTCATATTGATTGGGATGATTAATAATAAACTAAAACAAATTAAAAGTATAGATTAATACAATAAAAATAAGTTACTCTTAAAATAAACAATGTTTTATTGATTTTCCGAGTATGACAGTATTTAGATATACAGTAGTTTAATAAATCAAACAATTAATCGTTCTAAAAGTTACTAATGGTACGGTTTCTTAGGTCTGAATGCTTTTAAAATCATCAGTCACAGGCATCAAAAACACATGCAAAAACTCAATTATATATAAATAAACATAACTCAAGCATTGCATATCCTGCAGTTATTACCACTATTCTATACTGTGGCCACTGTGAATGATCTCCATTGCAATAATCGAAGCTAAAACCATATATTTTGTGCATATTTAATTGCATTAACACAAGAAACGGAGCATAAAGCATCACCAGAGGAGCTCGACTGACCTTAGGAAGATCCTGTTTGAGCGACTGCAGCACATAATACATGGAGCTCTTGCTGTTTTCTCTGGGAGAAACACAAACCACGGCCTCTCCGTGAACCTGGACGTCACCAGGCTTCACCCGCAGCTTAGACGTGCAGATGGAGTAGCGCACCGTCTCCGCATTGACCTGAACACAACAAAAACACCAGCAAGAAGCATCAGCTGCTGACAGAGAACAATAATACTGATGATGAGGACAGAACCATCAATAACAGTGAGTGAAAACCCACAGAAAAAACAACAACTCATGGAGATGGAGAGTGTTGATGGCATGTTATTATGATCAAAGGTGTGTGTGTGTGTGTGTGTGTGTTACCTCCAGACGCAGAAGACGGATCCTGTCCAGCGAAAGCTTCACCAGGATAAAAGTATCATCCGGCAGGAAAACCTCCTCGATGTACTCGGAAATCTGAAGGAAATACATCATATATGCTTCATTAGGGACGTAACGTTATTGTAAATACCGTCATACCGCAATATTAATTTTTTTCGATATTACCGTAGTCGCATGACTCGGTAAAACTATAGGTTTTCTGAGAAAATTTGCTCAGGCGAATGAAGTGAACGGGAGGTACCGGAAACTACAATTCCCATCAGCCCATGCTTGACCATCATCCCTTGCGGTCTGTTGTCGCTACAGATCCAGTAATGCGGAAATGGAGTGTGCTGCTAGAAGCGGGGATCAAAAAGAGCTGGAAAACTCCAAAGCGGGTGTTGTCGCGCGAGTTCTTATCAGCTGTGTTGTTGCGCGCGTACTGAATAGCGGTGTTGTCGCGCGCGTACTGTAAAGCGGGGACGGAGGGTATGTCGCGTCGCGGGGACACTTTTGATCATTTTGGAAGGGAACTTTCTATCCAAGACTAAAAAGGGCATGTGCTCTGCACAGGTTGAGCCCTGTGTGTGCACGTGCTTGCAAGTTGGGGAATACGACTAATAATCAGTCATGGGGACTGCAGAAACACAGCACACTGTTCAGATTGATGCAGACATGAGATCTCTATCTCACTCATGGTTTGTCCTCTCAAGTGGGGGAAAGACAATGCACAACGTTACCCACTGCTGTCAACCTGGGCCAAGTCATTTCTCTCTTGTCCCAGAAACCTCAGTCCCAAATGAGAGGGGTTTTTCTGTTGCAGGGGACATTGTAAATACCCAGAGATACCAGCTTTTACCAGATTATATTTATATGATAATTTTCCTTTAAACCCATCTCTATCTAAGTGAGTGAGTGATTAAATGTTGAGTGTGATGAGTTTTCAACAATACTAAATTGAAACTTTATTTTTTTTACATGGTTTAATATTTTTTTGTTATTAAAATTGAAGTTCCTGTTTCAAAGCTTACAGATAGATGACTAATTTGTATGTCATTGACACTTTTGGCACTTTTTTGAAGTATTTTCATAAGTTTTGTTTTTTCCTGTAAATGATTCAATAAATACCGTACCGTGACATTCATACCGAGGTATTACCGTACCGTGAAATTCTGATACCGTTACATCCCTATGCTTCATTAAACATATGCAAAAATCCTTTAATTGCTTTTTAAATGCACATGTGTGTACTAGTCCTTTATGTATTAGTTAGGCCTGTCACGACATCCATTTTTTGCTGTGTGCTATATTGCACCAAAATATATTGTGATAAACGATATTATTGTCATTTTATGGCGCTCGTTATATAATTCCAGAATGACAAAATAATATCATCACGATGCCAGTACAAAGAACACATCATACTTAACTATTAATTTAATTAGTCATTTTAACAGTTTAATAATCAGGCATTGGAGTCAGAATGTGAAAACGCAGATCCTAAATCAAGAATAATAAATGTTAACAAAGGTAATCGGTAACAGAGGCTGTGATTTCAGCGACCTGATCTAGTTTCAACTGTCAGACACTCATATGATGATTATATACTATAGTAATTTACAGTAATTCTGTAGTGTTTTAACCATACTGACACCGACTCCACCAATAGAGACAGAGATGTTGCACAATCAGCTCAAACGTTGCTAGAGTTGTTCGTTTATGTATGGCCAATATATATTATATGACAAATAAAGTACTATATAGTGTTGGGTGATATACAAAATTTTCACCCCCCTGTGAGATCGCCGATACACGATCCTATCGCATGGGGGCGCGGCAGTGTTATATATAATAATAATAATAATAATAATAATAATATATATATATATATATATATATATATATATATATATATATATATATATATATATATATATATAC